CTGCATCTTGCGCCATGGGATATTCCACTCTTCGTTTGTATTGTGCTACGACTACTTACCCGATATGATCCTGAATAACAGCAACTTGTTCGAAAAAGTGCATCCCCAACTCGAAGTGAAGCATCTGATTTCAATAAAAGTAAAGAACTCTAATATTTGTTAACAAGGAAAATTTCTTGAAGAACTTCTTTACATGGATAAAAAACCCTCCGGTCAAACCTTGTTAAAATGATCTAATAGAAAAGATAACTTATAGTTGATCCAGACACAATTAATCCCTAATAGACTTCTATAAATCATCAAAGAACTTTTTCGATTTTAGGGATTCATAGAAGTTGCTTACCATCGAAGTTCAGTATGCAAAGATCCCCCGGCCAGCTAATTCAAGTCTATTACAGTCTAGCATAGTTAGGGACTTGAATATTATTTTCTATTTCAATATGGATTCTTATTTTTCGAGTTCCCTCGGAAAATAATTTGAAGCAGTAAAAAGCGTATTGTTTATGATCTTTCTTTGAAAGAAATTTGAATTCCATCTTAGGGTGGCTTTGTTTGTTGATGGGCATCTAACCTTGATACAAATCATTAATAGCAAAGTTCGATCAAATATTTAAGATAGAGCTCGTCAATTTTGCCTAGTAGTTAAACGTATTTTTACTATTTTTCATCTATTTGTTTCTTCTTTATAGTAAAACTCCAAAGTTTGGCTTTTACATCTATAGTAATGCTAGTGATGTAAGATTAAAGGGGATTGGACACTTGAATATCAATGTAAATAGGATGACTAGACTTATCAGTTGCGCCATCAACATATAATTTCATGAGGGGCATGTTTCGTATGCTCGATCAGATGTGAGTCATGTGACATACTTTAAGTGTAGTCATGTTTAATTCATTGCACTGAATATGCCATCGATGCTTTTTGAAATTGGGTTTCCAAGTGTATTGAATAAAAATGAAAAGGAAATTTGTGCCATTTGTATAATTATTCAAGAGAAAACCGTATATTTGAATTTCAAGATATGTCATAACATGTTATTTTTCTTGTGAAAATATAGTGATCTCGCCTCGGCCCATCTACCCATGGGCTCAACTCATCTCAAGCACGAGCTAAGATCTTGTGAGCTGACGAGCTGAGCCACGAGCTCAAGATTTTTTACTTTTAAAAAATATATTTTTTTTTTTACTTTTTTGTTTATATTTTTTTCGAGACCTTAGGCTTGTGGGCACATTCTCGAGCTCGTCGAGCCTTGCGCGGCTCATCGAGCGAACTCTCCGCTAGGCTTGGGCTCGTTAAGTATGGCATGGGGGCGGATTCCTCCAACCTTGTCCCAGCGGGCAATTTCTTGCCCCCCCCCCCATTACTTGTTTAAGACGAGTCGGGTCGGGGCCTTACCCTGTTTGCAAACCCCTTTTTGTTTTTGACGAGTCGGGTTGGGGCCTTACCCTGTTTACAAACCCCTTTTCGTTTTTGATAATTTAATTTATTCCCCCATTTATTAAAGTGGGAAAATAATAAAGTTATTAAATTTTTAATTAATTAATTTATTTTTAAAAGTTAAATTATTCGAATATATTTGATAGACTAATGTTTTTATTGTTTATCATAATTCTTAAATAAATTTCGTTGTCATTTTTTATTAGAATTAAGGAAATTTCGTGAAATTTCCATTTAAAGTATTGAATTGTTTAAACGGAGCAGGGATGGTGTTGCCCATACCCACCTTGGAGCAAAATTCCCCGACCCGAATTCGAGAATAAGCGGGTAATCCATGCGCTCGTTCAAGCAGCTCGCGAGTATCGAGTTTGATGGGTTTTTTCGTCATCCTTAGGGTTCGGGCTTGTCCCAAAAATAGCTCGAGCCTTCCATTGGCTGAGCTTTGATGAGCTAAACTGTCGAGCCGACAAACTACTCTATCATTTTGCCACCCCTATACAAATGGTTAAAGTCAAATATATAAAGTTACGATAGACAGTAAAGTTATTCGAATAAATATTAAACTTGTTTAATTGATAGTCTAAAAACGTTTCATACGGTTTGGTTCTCCATAAATACAATGAACATACAGAGTATTCCATGGGCCGAACTTTGATGAGCCGAACCGAAGAGCCAAAAAAACTACTCTGTCATTTTGCCACCCCTATGCAAATGGTTAAAGTCAAATCATATGAAGTTACGATAGACATTATAGTCATTCAAATCAATATTAAACTTGTTTAATTGATAGTTTGAAAACGTTTCATAAGTTTCTCCATGAATACAACAAACATACATCTCTTGTTCGATAGCAACCGTATACCAACAAAAAACACCATATCAATGCAATTCAAAACACACTCGAATTTAATAAATTTGTGGAAATATTGTTGCTTTGGGCTAATTTATATTGTCAACAAGTAAGAATGTTTTGTTACATATTAAAAAAAAAAAAAAAAAAATTGCTGTACGTAAAAAGCCGAAGTAGAGATTAAAAATGCGAGAGGCAACTGTGAAACAACTCTAATATCAGAGCCAGGTTTCGATCCTGGGACCTGTGGGTTATGGGCCCACCACGCTTCCGCTGCGCCACTCTGATTAGTTGGTTTTTATTTGGTACATAATATTAATATAATTATATACTTTCCTTTTTTCTTTTCAATATTCTGAATGTTCTTTTTGAGCATGTTTGGCTTGGTTAGAAGTGCTACAAACAATACACATAAAAAAAAAAAAAAAAAGAGATTTTGTCATAACTTCTCAAGAGTATGTCTCTTTATGCTATCGAGAAAGTTTATCAAAATTTTTGTTGATTTTTAAGCAAAGCTAAACATACTCTGCATAAATTTTTTATGTATGTTAGACGTATCATTTTAATCTTATGTAGTTATTTTCATTCTATTGTTATCTTAAGTTTCTTTTACATGGTACATAACCTCACAAAATTTGTATCTTTCTACGAAACTAAATAAACAAATTTGTCAAATCACATTATTCAACGCACAAACACATATTAGACAATCACACATGATTTGTATCCAAATAGTTCAACTCAATCTTCATCTTCTTCAACTAAACAACTTTCTTCCAAAAGCAAAAGGAATTTGAACAAATGAACCCATTTTTTTGGCCCTAAAACTACAAGAGAAAGAAATGAGTTTTGTGTAAGATAAGATGCAAAGTGCCAAACACATAGCATTGGACACCAACATGTGGGTGGTTTGATTATGAATTGTCAACTTGTCATGATTTAAAAGCTTTTCTTGATAATATATTGTGCCTGCTTTTTGAAATTCTATCGTAATAAAGTATATGGACTAACCAACATGTTAAAAATAGGATAATGATTCAACCCACTGGCCATCATCAAGTAATGGTATTTTGAAAATATTGCTTATTTTACCTCTTAATCGCATTGATATTTTAATTTTTCAGAATAAAACAAGAGGCACGACTCCAGTTACTCAAGCTAGATCATCAATTTGAGAAGAAAAATGCTAGGGCTCTCTACACGTGGCATCCTACCTTCTCCAATCCTCCTTTGACACGTGCAAACTTAGTGTTGAATCACATGTTGTCGAAAATTCGACTAACACAATCAAAAGAACAAATAAAATAAGCAGAAAAATAGAGAACAGTAAATGAAGCGAGGTATGCCAATAAAATAAGCAAATCTCCTTAAGACAGATTTCGTCCCCAATGAAGTGCAAATGGGATTATGGACGTATGTCTCTCAAGATACAATGCTCCTTCCAAAGTCGATACTGCACAATACAAACCTTGTCGGTTGAACCAATGAAAGATCGTACTCGAACGGAATAACCACGGGAATATAAGAGAATTTTTAGAGCAGAATATGGAGAGAGAAGAATTTAGAAATCAATTGAATTCGTAATTGATTTGGTGTATCAAAAAACGAATCTGGTGATCTCTATTTATAGAGATTGAAGTGTTTTATGGAAAAAGTGTGTGACATTTCAGGAACTGGTGCACCACTTGGTCTGATTTGTCTTAGCCATTGGATCGCACTATTTTCATGATCAGACGGTTCAGATTGAACCATGAAGTGAAGTGTCCGTTCATCATGCATATTCACCAATTTTTGAACAGTCACAGCCATGTGGATGCCGCGCGTACATCTAAGTGCCAAGTGCGCCTCTAAAGCGCCCAATGTGTACTTTGTGACTAGCCTTTGGCTAGCTAAAGTTAGCCAAGTGGTAGGTAACTTATTAAATTATATATTATTCACACAACTCACTATATAAATAAGACTATTTTCTTGTAAACTTTCGATGTGGGACTCCTTTCCATATAAAAAACACTTAAAATGAGTTTATCAACATATGGGCCTACATTGGAGACTTTTCCAATTCACCCAAATTAATTGCAATGGCCCACATCATTAAATATTACATTNTACATCATTTTCAAGTTTTCGAAATGTAGAAGTTAGACTATTTTTCATAATTTAACTTTCAGTTAGGTAATTCCAACTTAATAAATTTAATAGAAATTTCATACATACTTTCAAACTTATTAACAAAACTTTAAGTTTCAAAATCATAATTTACATAATATATAGATAGTATCATAATTTAAATAATCTTTATGGGATAAAGTAATTTTTGACTTTTGTCAAGATAAAATCCTTTAAAAATTGAAACTAAAGTTAAATAAAATTATTTCATAAAAAGAAAAAAGGGCAAAAAAAATTTAAATTTTTTTTAAAAAAATTAATAAAGCGCACCTAGGCATGCGGGCAACATAGCAATTGATCGTTCAATTCATGCTTACTTTCAAGACAAAGCGTTTAACCTGCGTCTTGCATTTAGACAACGCTTAGACAAGCATTTTACAACACCATCACAAATTTACAACCCATATAGCATGTGCGGCCGTAATGAAAGCTTGACGGTACAAATGTTAAAAATAAAAACGTTGAAAAAGACAATAAGAAACAGATTCTCAGAAGTGTAAATGACATTTACTGTAAGAGAGAGTTGCCTTTTCTCGTACATGTTGGACTCTGCAGATAATTCTACTTTATTTCGAAATTATACTTTGCTGGTTGGGCACTTTAATGCTTAGACTAAATTAAATTTGAAGAGATCTGTAGCCAATGATTTATGTACGTTATTTTAATTCTGCTAGCAGCAAAAAAAAAATTCTTGATTTCGTCTAATTCCGTCGAGATTCATTGATTTTTGGCACTCAACCCTAAAGAAAAAGTGCATAAAACAAAAAGAAACGCTGTATAGGCGTATAGCTTCTGTTTCTAAGCCAGAACTCTTGTTTAAAATAAACCCTTTTGACTCAAACCCCTTGTAATCTTATTTCAAACCTTGTGACCTCCATTTTTTAAACCCTTTTCCGAGAATTCCACTCTACTTTTCAGATGCCATTCTTGTAATTTGCTTCTTTTTTATTCAGAGTTCCAGCTTCTAGTTTAGTTCAAACCAGTGAGATTTTGGAGCCAAGAAAAACAAATTCTTGAAATGAAGATGCCACAAATTTTTACCCGGTTTTTCTTGGATGGATTCTTGTTATTACTGTTACAAATTCATGGCAGTGCTGCTGCAACTCTTCTTGAAAATGACAAGCGGGCATTGCTGGATTTTGCTGAAAAGCTTCCTCATATGAGGACTTTGAACTGGAATGAGCAGTTTCCAGTGTGCAAGAAGTGGACTGGAGTTGGATGCAGTGAAGATGGCTCAAGGGTAATTTCACTAAGATTACCTGGGGTTGGTTTTCATGGACCTATACCACAGAATACATTGAGCCGCTTATCAGCATTGCAGATCTTAAGCCTCAGATCCAATCGTATTAATGGGAGTTTTCCTTTGGATTTTGGTAACCTTAAAAACCTTTCTTATCTTTATCTTCAGTACAATAATTTTAAGGGTCCTTTGCCTTTGGATTTCTCTGTGTGGAAGAACTTGACTGCTGCTAATTTGTCTAATAATGGATTCAATAGCAGCATTCCGTATTCGATTATGCATTTGAATCAGCTCACTAGTTTGGATCTTGCTAACAACTCACTTTCTGGCGAGATTCCTGATTTTCATTTGCCAAATTTGCAGTTTCTTAATTTATCATACAATAATCTTAATGGTACTGTTCCCATATCACTACAAAGGTTTCCAAAATCAGTTTTTTTGGGTAATAATGATTCTTTGATGGAGTATACTGTTTCCAGTTCTCCTGTTGTTTTGGCTCCTCGTGATGAAAACCCGAAAAGTAAGAGTACACAAAAATTGAGCGAAAAGGCATTACTCGGAATTGTCATATCTATTATAGGGATTCTTGCTTTTGGCATTCTATTGTTTATCTGCTGTCTTAAAAGAAAGAAAGAGGATGGTTTTCCTGGTAAATTGGAAAAAGGAGGCATGTCGCCGGAGAAAGCAATTTCTAGGAGCCAAGATGCGAATAATAGATTGGTATTCTTCGAGGGATGCAATTATGCGTTTGATTTGGAGGATCTGTTAAGGGCTTCCGCAGAAGTTTTGGGGAAGGGTACTTTTGGGATGGCTTATAAGGCAATACTCGAGGATGCAACGACAGTGGTGGTGAAGAGGTTGAAGGATGTCAGCGTTGCAAAGAAAGAGTTCGAACAGCAAATGGAGGTGATCGGAAACATAAAGCATGAGAATGTCATCGAACTGAAGGCTTATTATTATTCGAAAGACGAGAAGCTTATGGTTTATGATTACTACAGTCGAGGCAGTGTTGCTTCAATGTTACATGGTATGTTTTGTTTGATTCATTCAAAAAAAACATGCTACTGTGCCAGAGTAATTTAACTAATTGTTGACATGCTGCTACAAGGCATTTTATCGTTGGACTGTTTAAAACATGGTCATCTTTTCCGTCAAATCACCTACTGCCAGCTATGATTCTGGCACTGCTTCTGGCATTATTCTTCTGACAAAATGATCGTTTTCCTTCAGTCTATGAAGTATGCTATTGTTGTTTTCTCTTCTTATTTTTGTCTAACATGCAGGAAAAGGAGGGGAACATAGGACTCTGGATTGGGAAACAAGACTAAAGATAGCCACTGGTGCTGCAAGGGGTATTGCTCGAATCCATGCAGCAAATGGAGGGAAGCTAGTTCATGGAAACGTTAAATCGGCAAACATATTTCTGAATCCTCGACAGTATGGTTGTGTTTCTGATCTTGGCCTATCAACAATTACGAGTGCATTGTCTCCACCTATTGCTCGTGCTGCTGGTTATCGTGCTCCAGAACTTACAGACACGCGTAAAGCAACACAACCATCCGATATCTACAGCTTTGGTGTGTTGTTGCTCGAGCTCCTCACTGGTAAGTCCCCTGTCCATACTACTAATGGCGACGAGATTGTACACCTGGTAAGATGGGTCCATTCAGTTGTTCGAGAAGAATGGACCGCTGAAGTTTTCGATGTGGAGCTGCTGAGGTATCCGAATATAGAGGAAGAATTGGTCGAGATGTTACAGATAGCAATGGCATGTGTGGTAAGAATGCCCGACCAGAGACCTAAAATATTGGAAGTGCTCAAAATGATCGAAAATGTTCGACACAGAGATTCTGAGAATAGGCCATCATCTGATAATTCAACGCCTGTACCTCCATCACCAGGTGTTTGAGACATATCTCCCTTTCCTAAAGCAAGTACTGAATCTTATCGTCAGTTCACCATCTTGGTGAACAATTGCATCTAGACCTGATTCTAGTTTAAGGAAGAGTTGGATTAGGTTATGCATCGATGATTAATCTGTAACTATCGACCAGTTGGCTGTGTTATTTTCTTTCATCTTATATGTACATTGAACAACCAGTTTGCTTTTATTATCTTGGTTATTCTTCGTTGAGCATACTCAAGTTTCTTTTTCAGCCATATTGGTGGCTGGACAATATAACTCCTGCTCACAATGGGCAGAAGATCAATTCTACTGCTTTTAGACTACGTGTTTTTAGACTACGTGTTTACCATTGTGGTTGAAACATGTTGAATCCCCGCATATTTCCCAAGCCTGGTCGACATCCATTTATGAAACCATTATGAATATCAAAATATGAAAAAAAAAAAAAAAAAAAAAAACTGAGAATTACGAAGCCAGATATATTATAACATAAGCAATACTATCAATGAAACAATATGTTCGAATTACAACTCTAGGTAGATAAATAAAAACTCATCCTTAGCACACCGCACATTAAAATAGTCTTCAGATAACTCGATTTTTCAAAACCTAAGCATAAGCTTACTATATCGTGTCCTCAATTATCTCAGATATTCAATGGAGCATCAAATGTGTGGATGAGGTATGTGAGCACCAACGCCAACAACATCAGACCACATGCAATCCCCTGGTCAATTGTAGTACCTGGAAAATAATTCAAGACACGGGGGAAAAATCCCACTTCATTTCTTCACCTTAAATTAGGTTAAATGCATCACATACACAATGTATCAGTTCGCATAATCAAGAAAGTTAGTGGGATCTGTGGTTTTGGGAAAATCAGAAACAGAAAAGGGAACAAAATATTTCAATTTAGAATAGCTTTCAACTATAGAAGAAAGAAAACAGCACCCTAAACCTTTGTGCAAAACAAAATGTTTCAATCCTATTAACACATTAACATAAGAACTACTAGTCTGGCGTTATATATATTCTTCAAGAGAACAGAGGGGGAAATCGAATATGTAAATGCTTCTGATATATGAAGACTTCTATTTGTACCTTTGATGCGTAATGTCAAAACATAGAATCGAAAAGAAATTACCGCGCGATTCGTGACTGAAACTATGCATCATTGACAAGACAGATATCTTAAAACTAGATTATTTACTAAGCTAAGCAATATGTCCCGAGATTCCAAAAGCGAGAAGGTGATAAGTTCTGAACTAAAGACTAATCTGGCCCCTGAAATCGAGCACCCTCTCTTACAAGCAAGTTCTACATCTGAGTTCTACCCAAGTGCTCGTAATAATTTAATCCTTCCAAGTTTTTAGAGATTATTATTCCAATTCCTAAGCACATAATTGAATTTCATTATAACAGTTGTCAATTATGCAAAAATGTCAGCCTAAATATGCACATCAATGTGCACATATTACTAGATCTCCATGATAAATTACCCAGATACCATTGCAGTAAATTAAGATAATGCTTTTCAATTAAGCAAATTTAAATACATTCTTCTTCTTGATAGAAAAAATAAATTAAAGTTTTCGAGTTCTTAAGATTTCGATTTCTTTACCCATCCAAACAAAAACAAACAAATCATACATTTTCAGCATTTTAACAAAAAGAAGAAAAAAAAATTAAATGAAATACACGAAAATCAAATCCTAGATTTCTAAGAAAAATCTCACCATCACTTGTTGGAGCAGGAGCGGGGGCCAAACCTTCGTGGCCATGGCCCTGAACAGCGGGCAAAAAGATTGCAATAACAAGAACAAAACTTGCAATGATACCAAACGAAACCTTACGAATCTCTGCCATTTTCTTTGCTCTTTTTATTTTCCTTCTCTCCGCGATTGCCCTTTTAAAGAAAATGGGTTCGAAATAAATGTTTAGAGCCTCGCAGAGAGAATAATGCCCGAAATTGGTAGAAAAGGAAATATTCTCTTCACATTAATGGTGGAAGCGAGAATGGAAAGCATGTTTTTTTTGCAGATTTTAAGATTATTCCATGTGTTCGTGTTTCTTCGGATTCCTTTCCTTCCAATCAAAGAGAACGGGAAGAGCAGGTTGCCGGTGAAAACAATGTGGGCCAAATTTGTAGGACTCAAGCATTTATTCGCCTTTTTCCTAATAATCTTTATTTTTTCCTCCATAATTATTAAAAATATAAGTTATAAATTTTAGTTACTTCAGATACCATTGCAGTAAATTAAGATAATGCTTTTCAATTAAGCAAATTTAAATACATTCTTCTTCTTGATAGAAAAAATAAATTAAAGTTTTCGAGTTCTTAAGATTTCGATTTCTTTACCCATCCAAACAAAAACAAACAAATCATACATTTTCAGCATTTTAACAAAAAGAAGAAAAAAAAATTAAATGAAATACACGAAAATCAAATCCTAGATTTCTAAGAAAAATCTCACCATCACTTGTTGGAGCAGGAGCGGGGGCCAAACCTTCGTGGCCATGGCCCTGAACAGCGGGCAAAAAGATTGCAATAACAAGAACAAAACTTGCAATGATACCAAACGAAACCTTACGAATCTCTGCCATTTTCTTTGCTCTTTTTATTTTCCTTCTCTCCGCGATTGCCCTTTTAAAGAAAATGGGTTCGAAATAAATGTTTAGAGCCTCGCAGAGAGAATAATGCCCGAAATTGGTAGAAAAGGAAATATTCTCTTCACATTAATGGTGGAAGCGAGAATGGAAAGCATGTTTTTTTTGCAGATTTTAAGATTATTCCATGTGTTCGTGTTTCTTCGGATTCCTTTCCTTCCAATCAAAGAGAACGGGAAGAGCAGGTTGCCGGTGAAAACAATGTGGGCCAAATTTGTAGGACTCAAGCATTTATTCGCCTTTTTCCTAATAATCTTTATTTTTTCCTCCATAATTATTAAAAATATAAGTTATAAATTTTATTTACTTTTTGATCAAAGAATTCACTCGTTGAAAACCAACCATCCACTACAACATGACTTAGAATAGCACTAAACGAAGCCAAAGTATGGTCAATTTCATTTTGCGCTTAGAGGATGAAATGACAAGAATCACACCCAACTAACTCAAAAAAAAAAATTAGTCGTATTATAAGTGAAAATTGAAGCGGAGAATAAGATAATTTCTATTGGTGTTATAGGAGAACAACACTCCAGCTTTGAAATTCTCATTCCACTCCTCAATTGCAAACTCTTTTAATACATTCCTGCATTTCTATCAACTTCAACTTCAAAATTGATGGATTTTACCAATGCTTGGTAAGCCAACATTTTTATTAGGAACCATTCTTGTTGCATCTATGATCAATCTTGATTAACACATCCACATTGAGCTTAACTTGTAAGATTTGGGAAGGTCTTTACCTTGATAACTATCCCATGTCAGAAACGAAAGTTGCCTGGTTTTTATGAAATTTTATGATTTTATTTATTCCAATATCGATCGAAATGAGGACCCCACCTTTTATTATGGGAATTAAGTTGTAGCATTACACCTATTTGGGAGGGTTTTGTGAAATTCAAAGATATAAATTTTCGGAAGAATCTTCAAATCTCATAGTCCCGTCTACCATCTACGGAGTTAAACATTATTAGAGGTGGTGGTTAAGTCTTGTAGCTTTAACACCATTCTGTGACTTGATCGATTTGGATATTGCTAATTACGCTCGAATGTAGACTGACAAAATGATTCGAAACATTTAGTGAATTAAAAACAATCCTAAATTTTATCTCTCAAACTCTTCCCACAAATCTTCGTACCTATTCAAATTCCATTTCAATTTTATATTTTTCCTCTGACTTTACTCTAGAAATTATATTGTTCCTTTCTTCATCATCCTTCTATCTAGTTGTAAACTTGTGACAAGTAAAATTTGAAATAAATTTATTTTATATGTTCTTGTTAACTTATTTTACATATTTAATTTGAATTCATTTTAAATATGAAGTAAATCTATTTATTTTTAATCACGATCTTGTAAAAACTAAAGAATTTTGTTACAAAATATGCATATTATCTAATAAAACGATACCATTTCTCACCACCTTTAATTATGGAAAAAATATCAAATTTAATTACTAAGCCTGTCCGGTTCCCAATTTTTTTTTCTTTGATTTGAAAGGATATCAAATTCCAATTAACATAATTGTTGATTTGTTCTTGCTCTCCATAAATACGGTAGCAAAATCATTTTCCTATTTAATTTAGGGAAAATTGCAGCAGCGATCGCTGATATTTTCAATTTGTGCAAACTTTATCCTAATTTTCAATTTGCGTCACCAACAATCTCTAACCTTTCAGAATTCTGTATTTGGAGTCCAAATGGATAGAATCCATCCACTTTTCTGTTAGTTGGGCAAAAAAATTATTTTGACCATATTTTATCTATTTTTGATGGGACAAAATGATAATTTTATATTTTTCTATTATAAACAATTAAATATATTATATCAAAAATAAAAAAGAAAATAAAAGAAATGGGAGACGTCTTCTTCCACCCCACCCCACGAAAACCAAACACACAACCTCCGCCTCCAAAGAACCATCGCCTGTACTAGCCACCACCACAATATCCGTTAATCCATCATCTAATAATTATGCAAGTTCCTACAAAAATCCACATTCACAGAATACACACAATCGAAATTTGCTTTGCTGTTCTTCGGACCCATCGAATACGTAACATTTAGTTGCTATTTCTAGACAGAACGGCAGTGCCCATGGTCGTCGCCATCCCTACCCAACATCCCCATGCGCACCTATTGACACCATGGGTTCCCACCATTTTCAAGAAATTATGCAACACATTCTTCCAGTTTGCACACAATGCACTCGCGAAAAACGTTTTCTCCTCTGATTCTTAACTGACACCATTTTGATGAAAGCCTTCAACTGATGGGTTACCAAAATTTGGGCCTAAAAGTTTATTGGGTTACCAAAATTGAAGAGCTACCGGGGTTGCACCATTTGATTTTATAGTGGTAGGATTTTATTGTAGTCAGATTTTATTGGGTTATAATGGTCGAAAGGTGAGTCGTAGTTGGGAGGATTTTGCTAATTATTTTTTGCTAGATTAATCATCTTGCTGGATTTTTGTTTGCTGGTAGTGGCGTTGAAGTTGGCTAAAAGTGGAGGTGACGGTGGCTGCCTGTTTTTAGGGGCAGGGTTGGGGTGGAGAAGAAAACAACCTATATATATATAATTTTAGATTTTTTTAATTTTTTGTTTGCTTATTTATTTATTGTGTTAATTTTTAAATTACCATTTTACTCTTATTAAATTTGGTCGAAATAAATTTTTTTGTCAACTAACAGAAAAGTAGACGGATTCCTTCCATTTGGACTTCAGATGCATATTTTTGAAAGGTTAGGGATCATTGGTGGTACAAATTGAAGGTTAGAGTAAGGTCTGTAAAAATTGAAAATATTAAGGATCGTTGTTGCAATTTTCTCTTTAATTTAATTTTAAGGAAACCAGGAGAACTGGTCGTCTTGGCGCCCGCAGAGTCCAACCATTGGAGTGAGATTCCACATGGGCATCTGGCTAGAATCTGAACACTTTAGCTGGCACCACATGCCACAGTCCGGATTCTTCCACGTGGCGAGATCTTATTTGATTTAGTTGCAGGCACCACCACATCAAATTGTTTTCAAAGTAACCAACAAATAAAAATAGGTATACATTTTATTGTGAGTATGAAATTTGTATGAGAAGAAAATAAATTATAAGGAATTCGATTGCCTTGAACTTATTTATATGAAAATTATTAATTAAACGTATTTGATTGATTTAATTATCAACTTAGAAAATACCATACTTGTCTATTTTTTATTGATGGATAAATAAAAGGGCAACTTACAAAAATACCCTTAAAATTAGATGTGTTTTGAAAAATCATACGAAATTTTTTTTAAAAGTAAAAAATACTGTGTAAAATTAAAAATTGACACAATGTCACTTTTTTATGAAAATTGTGTCATTTTTTTAAGAAAAAAGTGACACAGTGTCACTTTTTTGTTTAGTATAACATTTTTATTAAAAAATTACATACAATATCATTTTTATTAAAAGATGTTTGTCACTAAAAAAAAAAAAGTGATAGAAATTTCTAAAAGACAATTGGAAAAAAGTGACCAAAAAAAAAAGTGATAAATTTTTTATTAAAAAAAGTGACAAAAATCCAAAAAAGTGGTAAAAAAATTTTAAAATGACAAATGTTAAAAAGTTACATAGATTAAAAAAAAAGTGACAAAAAATAAAAAAGTGGCAAACACTAAAAAAGTGACGAAATTAAACACGAGACATAACTTTATTTTAGAAACACAACATCCTATGAGTTGTAAGTAGGGATGTCAAACGGTCCGGGCTCGTCCAAAAAATTGAATTTTTAAAAAAAAAAAAGGTGCAAAAAATGCGCCAAAAAAAATAAAATAAATAAAAACACAAGCTCGCGAGCGGCTCGAGGGTTCGTGAGCTCACGAGCTCGTGGGTCGAGCCGAGCTCGCCCACGAGCAACGAGCCGAGCTTGAGCTCGGCTCGTTAAAAACGAGCCACGAGTTCGGCTCGCCACGAGCCCGAACTGAGATCGTGGTTTAAAAGGTCGAGCTAGCTCGACTCGACCCATTGCCATCCCTAGTTGTAAGTGACATAAATTTAAAAAAGTCACAAGAATTGAAAAAAAGTGACGAAATCAAATAAGTGAAAGTTAATATTTATATAGTACAACAGTAAAGCACAACAAATAATATTCAACAGCACTATAGTACATGAGAATTGACAGATTGTAGTTTTATTCGGGCTCACTATAGAATACCGGTCTTTTTACTCTAAGCTAATGCACGTTAACATAATTTGCAAATATTTTTGCTATAGTTAAAATAAATAAGCTATCTACAAACATATCTCACTAATTTCTACTACGTAAAGAATCTCTAACAAATTATATTCACAAAATTCAAAGGCCTTAACATCTAAGAACCTGGTATCATAATGTCTCATTCAAGGACTCACATAGTACATAAGTTGTTTAAGCGTCTAGACGAACAACA